ATATCAATAATATGATGTATGAAGAAAACTTATATATATTAAACAAATAAAATTTATATAGGATATTAAGATTGTAAAATAAATAAACCCCCTTAAAAAATTATATAAAAGAATAGAAAATCATTTATATAATCATTTAAATCTATTTTAAATAAATTTTTACAAATCTAAAATGGCCGCCAATATTTTTGAAGCGATGAAAAATATATATAATAAAAAATATTTTATAATTTTAATGGCCGCCAATATATTTGAAGCGATGAATAAATATATAATAATATTTATTTTAAAATTTTAATAGCCCCCAATATATTTGAAGCGATGAATAAATATATAATAATAAATATTTTAAAATTTGAATGGCCCCTAATATATTTGAAACGATGAAAAATATATAATGAATAGATATTTTACAATTTTAATGGCCGCCGATATATTTGAAGCGATGAAAACATCTCTTAAAAATCAATACGGTATTGATTCTACAATATTAAAATATCACTACGGTATTGAATCTACAATGATAATATCAATACGGTATCGAAACTACAATGGGTATTGATTTCACAATCCTACACCGGGCCGTAAAAAATCTTTAAAAAAAATCCGGGCCGTGCCCTGCAAATGGTACTTCTGCAGGCCTCTGTTATTCTTCTTAAAAAGAGAATGTTCTCTCATTAGTTTACTAATGGAAAGAGTTTATAAACCCTTTTAATACATTGGGAATTTAATCTAAAATGTGTTTGAAATAATGTAGAGCATCCATAACATTTTTTGGGACTATATCAACCATAGTTAATCTTATAAACATAGTTATTCAGCTAGTAAGGCATCATAAGATACTTTAACATCTTCATAATAAAAATCTAACAAATTTTTTTTTTCTATCACCTTCTGAAAAAGGTTTGGAAGGCTTTTGTGGAAGTAATATTTGCAGATGTAAGTGCTGCATGATGAATTAAAAATTCATTTATTTGGTTTATAAATGTATCTGTACCTAAGATATACTGTTCTACTGATCCTATATTAATGTTTTAACGATGAGCTTGGGAGACAAATATTAAACACGTATAGCTCTGTTTTTGACTCAACAATAAAATATAAAATATGAAATTCTTCATCAACATTAGCCCTAATTTCCTTGAGTTCTAATAAAATGCTCTCCGCTCTTCTCATCTTCTTAGTCAAGTCAATGTCATGTTTTTGAATAGTAATACTTAAAATAGTTGTATAATTAAATATTACATTCTAATGAGAAATAAAATTTGGAATAAGCATTGAATCCAATAATTTTTTTGCTTCTGAGGATTATTTCTTTCAGGCCATTGTGATATTTCAGTAATAGCAAATAATTGGCTCTTCTAACTCCTTAAAAGCTGTTACTGCTTGATGGTAGAGACTCTATCTCGTTGGACAAGGTTGCAATTTCTTTTTCCCTGTTGGACCAGAAGTTTCAGAAATAATTATTATTTGACTAGAAATTCGAAAATGGTAGATAAATATTAAGCCACTAAAAATTTGAAAATAATAAGTAAATATTACACCGGAAAACTTGAAATCGAAATTAATTGATAAAATAACTTATGAATGTGATAATAAATGTAATTAAATATATATTTAATATGAGATACGAATAAATATTAACAAATATAAATTAATATAAACAATAATATTTGAAAAGTATATCCGGCATCTGCATTTTTTGGCTTTGAGGGGGCGGGGGGGAATTTGTCCGCCTGCCCCCCCCCCCCCCGCTGCGTACGCCAATGTGTTTTTTTCTTTGGTTTTACTTTTAATTTAAAACAAACAACAATAAATATTTCTAAAATATATATTATTATCTATTTAAAAAAAGATAATTAATATGCTGGTAATTTTTTAAAATTTTAATATAAAATGGAGTACTCTTAAATATAATAAAATAAAAAGTTTTCCCCAAAAAATGTTTTTATATTGAAAAAATAAAAAATTATATTATATGTTTTAAATAATTTACATGTTTTTTATATTTAATTTTAATATAGTTTTATATTTTGTTATTTTAAATATATTGTTATTAAGAGAAAAAAAATATAATATTATAAAAAAAATTATGGACTCACAACTCTAAATTTAAAAAAGGTTTCAGGTGCAGTAAAATAGTGTGAATTCAAAGGATTAGCGCTGCTTCTAATCTTTAACCTTTCGGTAATAATTGGGGGGGGGGGGGTCAATGTATGGGTTAGAGGAGAACTAGGAGACACAAGTGAAATCTCAAATAAAGAGCTTCCTCTTAAACAAGGAACATTTGTAAGGCCATCTAGTTTCTTCCATCCAGCTTAGGTTGGATAGTTAGCCAAACCTAATTTATTCAAGATTATAAATTTAATAGCTCTGTGGCTGAACCACTCTTTAGTATATAAACAAGTTTGACCACGTCTGCCCATAGGATAGGACTCTTTCCCGTACCATTTACAATTATGAGGTAAACATAGGTCGCAACCAGCGTCTACATGAGCGGGAGGGGTAGGAACAGTTTGCATCCTATTATTTTGAGGGGGTAGGATAAATTTTTTGGGGGGTTATCTATTAAATTTTGAGATGAAATAGGACAAAATTTATTGCTGTAAAAATTAATAGTTTTATTATAGAAATATTATAAAACAATTATCGACCAAATCTATATATTGCAAACAATCATACACATTGTTTTCCAAATAAAACTTTCTGCTATCCTTTTTAATTTAAAGGGTTTAGATATATCAGCAAGCTCATAATGCCATAATAATTAATTCATCGTAAATAATGGAGGTTTTAATTGAATTAATTATCTAAAAAATAAATTCTTTATATTCACAAAATATTAATAGTTGGTAGTAGAGATAGATTAATTTAAGTTATCCTTATAAATTCTCTGAAAAGAGTATTAATTTAATTATAAAGGTGAAAATAATAATAAAGAGACACCGCCGCCGAAGGTGGTGTAATTTTTATGGGGGGGGGGGGGGTAGGCAAAGGTTTTTGAATGGGGTTTGCATCCAGTGAAAATCCTGTCATGTAGATGGGTTTCAGCCTAATCTATATTATATGGTTACCCTCAGTTCTTCGCCTGATAGCAGAATACCAAGATTGACACTAGGAACAGCTTCATGTCAATTAAGGACCTTATTTTGTAAAAATATCTGAGGTTGGGGAAACGAAGCGATTAATTTCTATTAAATTTATAAAGTTAGCTAAAGTCAACAAAGTCTCTTTGTGCATGGACTCCGGAAAGATGAAAGGCATAAATATTTCTTCCATAAGTCACAGGAAGTTTCGAATAGATTATCTTTACCTCTCCAAGCTTACTAATGTAAATAAAAACGAGAGTATAATATAATTTAAAAAACATAAAAAGATATGAACGAGAAATTAAAAAATAATAGAATGCGTAAGAAGGCCGTCAATGAGGAGTAAATATATTGGAATATCGCTATCAAGGCTGATTCCCTATTGACTAGTGTTGTTAAGCAGCTAAGCTGTCAACTTAGCTTAAATTCTATACAAGATTTGAGTCATAAAACTCATTTCAAATTGAGCCAATCAATGAGCCACATGAGTTGACTTTGAGAATCCAGAGTTGGCTTGATGAGTCTGTTAGAAAGTCGGCTCGATGAGTCCAACTTATTTATGATCTAGTACAATTACAAATAAAATAAAGACAAACACAATTGATTTATAGATCCTTTGTTGTAAAAATGAATAGCAGTGTAGAGAAATATAGGGGAAAAAAGTTAAAGATATTAGAATTGTGATAGCCGAAATATTTATATAATAATCTAATGAGCCTGAGCAGGCTTTTCATAGAATTTTAACAGGATCAGTTAAAAAATTATAATGGACATAGCTGGGCAATTTGTTTAAAAATTTTTAAATGGTCGAAACAGGCCCTGCTTTGCATATCTCTAATATATTCACATGAAATAAATAATTCCTGGCACAAATTATGCTCAGTCAGGACAATTAGTGCATATATCAAATTTTCGCAATTTTTTACCCCCTTAAAATTTTTGGGAATAAATATAGAAATCGAAACCATTAAAATAGAGAAAAACCATTCGTTCATGACCTAATCAGATCTATACGCCTGCCTCATTCACATTATATTTCAATTACACCTCATACCCACTCCCTCCCCGTCAACTAAAAATGAGGCCTTCGACATATAAGAGCTCAATATAAAAAAATATTTAAAGGTTTTTATTAAAATTTTTTAAATAAACTTTGGCCTCTTTGAAGCAAATGTCAAAAAAACCCTTTAAACGGGAATAATAAAAAATATTTTACATTTTTGAAATATTAAGATAAAATAGCATAAATTTAAAAAAAACTAAAAGTTAAAAAAATATTTTACAATTTCTGGAGAAATTATTTGGGCTTAAATAGTGTTTTTATCTCCCAAATTCCTATTAATGTATATTTTCAGTTATTTAAACTCCATCCAATTTACATACTATTAACACAGAAAACAAAGTATTTCCCAAAAATAAATATAGAAGAAAAGTTTTTATTCATCAAACTAAAGTGATTGAAATTTTTTAATATTTTCTTCATGAAGTAAATTTGAACCGACTCATCGAGCCTACTTTGAAGACGACCCATCATATCAATTCTGAAGCTGACTCAACGACCCAAATCGTATTTTACAGCTCCAACTCGAATTCAGAATCGTAAAAGCTCGACTCAATACTAGTACTGACACCGTAGCCAGGAAGTGCCAGTTGAAGGGGGGGGGAGGCAATATATTTGGGGCCAATGTTTTTCTTTCACAAGCCATTAGAGAAAAATTTGGGAAGCCATATTTAAAAGGGCCAGAAATTCCCCCTTCTGTAACACCTAATCTGGCTATTGACCTACATAGAATTTTCAAATAAATTTATTAAAAAATCTGCCTAGGGGAGATAAAGACTTATTAAAATTTATCATGTTATATTGATGTCTGTCTTTATCACATGCCAGTTTTTTAATTCTCTGACTTTAGTTAAAATTTTATAAGTAGCTTAGCATGGAAGATAAAGAGATAGAAGTGAAAAAATGGCTTACTGGTGAAAAACAAATTACTTTAAGATCTGGATTTGTATTTATAATTATGTGCCTATTTGGTCTTCCTATATGGTGGAAGACAACAACTGTTCAAAGAGAATTTATACCCTTAAAATTTATGTTATCCTTAAATCCTAATAATGTATCAAAATCAAATATGTTGGAATTTAACATTCGTGTATATCCTTTAATTACTTTTAGGAGTAAAGACTTTATTAATCATTTTATTTTTGACAATATGATTAAGTTTAACCTATTACCTCTATTAAACACTAATTCTCAAAATAATTTGATTATAAAATATAAAATTATGGCATCAAGATTTATTTCTCATAAAAATCTAGATGATCATCTTCAAAATTTAAAAATTTTTGACAGATACTCAGGAAACATTTATATAATTTTAGACTTACATGAAATCACAAACATATCTGAAAAGGTATTTATGAATCATTATTTTGATTTTCATTTTTCATCAGATGGGATTTTATTTCTTTATTTGAATAAATTTGGTGCTATACCATCTTTCTCAATTGCATGTCATAAATTATCACAATATATAAAATCCATATTAATTTCTGAAAATAATATTTTTGATTCATTTAACAGAGCAATAGGTAAATTCGAGACTAATAATATGAGTTATTATTTGACTAGCTTACACAAATTAACATTTCCACAATCAAACCATCCTTTAATATCATTAGATTTTACTTTTATATTTGATTACACTGCATATGGACAACCATTTGAAACTTTTGATTTTAGTGAATTTATTCAAAATATACATCATCCTTTGAAATATTTGCATCCAATATATAATTTTATCTACAAGAGTAGTTATACATATATAGAAAATCTTCCAATTTATTGGCAAAATCATTTACTTAATCTTGAATTTCACTCTAAATCATTTAAAGAAGATAGCTCTGATTTTTTTGGCTTTATTAATTTTATTGAATCTTTAAAACCAATATCCATATCCCATGATGGCAAAGAAAATACAGTTAAATTTGTTATTATCATCACCAAAGAAAATAATTATTCAAAAAATGAATTTCATCAAGATTTAACTTCATTTACAAGCCCAGGCTGGGGAAGTATTATATTCTTTCCAGCCAATAACATGGCAATTATACATGATAAAAACAATAACTTATCTCAATTCATTCATTCTATTTTATATAACAATCAAAAATTAAAATCAATAATTCTTTTACATTTATACCAGTTTATTGGTTATCCATTACACTATTTAACCCAAAGTTTGTATTACCAGAATCTTAAAGCTAATAATGTAAATATCACAAGATATTATGAAGGTACTCAAATTTTTTCACAATATAAAGATAATTATAGTGAAATAATTTTAACTGATCACTTGTGGAGAATTCAAAATTTAATGAGAATAAAAATTTGTGAAAATATAGCACAAAGTATGATGACATTACATATCTTAGGAAACTTAGTGAATAAAATAACTAATCTCATTGTTGATAAACAAGTTGCTCATATAATTTGCGAATCAGTGCAAAAATTAAAATGTGCTATGGATTTAATATCAATAACTTACTATGATGAAAACTTATCAATAAATAAATGTGGTTATGAATCAGAAAATAGTTTATACATTGCTTACAATTTTTCTAAAGAAGCCTTGATAAATTCTGAAAAAGCATTTTATTATCCCACATTACTTGAAGTATTATATTTTCCACAAGATCAAAAATATGCTATATATGTTCCACTTTTTTTCCCTGTCTTAATGGCTATTGTTTCTTATCTTTTTGCTTTTCTTAAAAATAAATATATTCAAAAAAATAAAATCAAAATGGAGTGATTTGCTGCATTGATATTTTAAAAAAGAATATATTAAATTAATTTAAGATAGAACTTAAACCTTATAAAATATTTATTTATTTTAATTTATTAAGCTTAGATTAAATATTATGAGGATAATTGTAATCAGAGACCTGCAGAGGTACCATTTGCACGGCCTGGCCCGGTTTTAAATTTTTTAGGCTCGGCCCGGGTATTTTTTAAAAAAATTTTTTACGGCCCGGCCCGGATTTAAAAATTTAAGGCCCGGCCCAGATATTTTTTTAAAAAAAATTTCAGGCCTGGCTCGGAATTTTTTAAAATTATATTCGACCTGGTATATACAAAAATTCACCTATGAGGTATACCATATTTTTCAGCGAGTATTATCGCTTATTATTTAAAAAATACATGTAAAAAGCTAATATTTTGAGAATATTATATTTGAATTTATAAAAATTATAAAACTGTTATTTATAAAAATGGATATTTTGAGCATATACTATATTTTATATTGCATTTATAAAAATAAAACTAATATTCATAAAAATGGTAATAATATTTTGAGCATATACTATATTTTTTATTGCATTTAAAAAAAATAAAACTAATATTTAATTTATAAAAATGGAAAATATTTTGAGAATATAATATATTGTATTTAATTTACTATTTAATTTATAAAATAAAAATAAATCGCTTAAAAAAATGCATGTATAATAAATAGTATTTTAAAAATATAATCTAATTGCACAATATTAATAAATTTTTAACAAAAGAAGATAATTGTATTATATAATATTGTAAAAAAAAATAATGAAAAATGTTGGATTAAAAACTTTCATGACTCAAGGTAAATATAATAAATGCAATAAATATTTGACAGTTTGCAAAGTAAAAAACCAGCATGATTGACGAAACCCTATACTCAAGAAAGATATTAAAAATTCACAAATTATTATGAAGAAAGAGAAGCATATCTACCTTTTCAGGTTGAAGATTACTTCTTTTTCTTCAAGAATTCTCCCAGTAGTGGAAAAATTCCGCTCACAGCTTGCACTTGAAGCAGGAATTGCCAATACCCGTTTTGCCAATTTTGCTAAAATTGGAAATTCGCTTTGATGAGCCGCCCACCACTCTAACAAATTATCCACCTTAAATGTTTCATCTATTTTTTTATTTATGTAATTATAATATTCATCATCGGGTATTGACATATTACCAGAATTACCATCGCCCCATTTGTCATAAAACGATTCAGTTTGTTTAACAACAGTCGTAATTTGACTGGTCGATGGTATTTCATTTACTTCCTGAGCCTCTTGTAATTTAATATAATCTTTTATATAGTTTTCCGTCTTGCGATCTGTCCCTGACAACATACGTAATTGCTTGAATTTGGGACAGAGAAAAAGAAAAATAAAATGATACTTGTATAAAAAAATTTTTCAATTAAAAAATGCTTTATATTAAGTAAAATCAATTTTATTTCTCCTTTCTCGCTTTGAAAGGTATTACAAACTTCAAGAAGTGATATTACTTTATTTGATTGTTTTGGTAAAATATATTCTAAAAATTTAGATATGAATTATAAAAAAATATATTATACTTGAATATTGGGGCTTATTTAAGATATTCCTTTATTTGATTGTTTTGGTAAAATATGTTGTAAAAATTTAGATATGAATTATTAAAAAATATATTAATACTTTGAATAAATTTGCAGGAAATTAATAATTAGATCGATCTGTGGGTGTTAGGTAGTGTTAACCATCACCCAATATTATATTAATCATAACTATAATATAATAAAATCTTATAACCATTAACTCATAATGTAAAAATTTTAATAAAAAATATTAAGGCCCGGCCCGGCTCGGGTTTAACAATCTTAGGGCCGGCCCGGATATATTAAAAAATTTTTTTTAGGCCTGTCCCTGATATGTTTAAAAAAATTTTTTTTAGGCCCGGCCGGGTTTAGGGCCGGGCCTGCAGGTCTCTGATTATAATTTGTGCTAAAAAATAGTTATTTTTTATATTTTCAAATATTAAATTATAAAAAAAAAATTATCCACCATATTATCTTTATAATTCATAATTTTGATTTCTTCATTTTAAAACAAGATTTATACTAAAACATTCAAGCATAAAAAATTAAGGACATTAAATAGGCTAATTGTGACATGCAAAGCATTTATCAGATAAAGCATTAATATGCTCCAAACTTAAATTTTTTCATATTTGGCAAAAATTTGTTTTATCTATTTCTATAACACATTGTTCACCTTCCACTTGATTGGATAATATTTCCATTTATTTATACACCTAATACATTACAAATAGATTCCTTCAAAGTGCCATCTGATATTTTTTTTTCACACTCCCAAATATAGCCAAAGTTCCATTGATATTTTTTTTTGAAATTACTTCTTGAAATGGATATTTTTATGTTTGCTATTGTTATATATATATATATTTTTTAGTCATAAAATTTATAATATTATTTTAGTCATTGTCATAAAAATTTATAATTATTAAGTCATCTTTGTAAAAATTAATAATATTATTTTGTTGAGTCATCGGTAAAATTAATATTATTTTTGTGAGTCATAGTTATAATAAAAAAAATATATTTTTATTTTTATTAATAAATTTGTATTTATTTGTAAAAATTTAAAAAATATAAAAACCCTAAATAAAGAAAAAATCATAGATTAATTTTAAAAAAAAAAAATAAATTATCAATTTTTTTAAAAAAGAAAAGTATATAGAAATAAATAAATTTATAGAAATGTTTAAACCAAAGGTTATTAAACCAGTGCTAAAATACTGGGAAATTAGTTATTGTTTTGGTTAAAACTGTGAAAGCTATATTATGTGAATTAATTGATGTTATGTTTAGGACTGTGTAAAAAGTTGTTAGGGGCCATCAATTTAGCCTTTTTGAAATTGAATAACTTTGTATCCATCCCACCTTTAGTCCTATTATAAAATGTTATAATTTCAGGTTTGCTTGGGTCATTTGTATAAACATTTTTATTATGACACTTTTCGGTTCTTTGGAACATATGATGGTATTACTTTTTCATATTCACTTCAAATATGAAAAATGATATTACATTTTAAATAATTTTGTTATATCTACTATCAGAATCTGCAAAAATCATTGCAAAAATCATATAAATAATTTTAAGAATGAGCCAGCTGGTGAAAATAGAAATGATATAACTTTACCAGAAATTTTTTTTGGTTTTCTTTGCAATATACCTCATTCAAAATACAATAATATTTAAATTTTGTTTTATTAAATTTCATAATATAGTAGTATATTTTTATAATGAAGATTATTATTGTAATAAATTAATAAAATATTATTTATAGATATTATATATAAAAATTGAATAGAATATTCGAAAATTAATTAATATAAATTTGATGTTTGAAATAAATTGAAATATAAATTAGTAGTCGTATTGTTTATAAATTAGTAGTCGGTATTACTACAAAGAAAAGAATTCCTTAAATGGAGATTCAAAAAAAATAGCGGATTTAGCTACGATTAAATTTGATAAATTCGAGTTGGACACTTCAATCTATAGATATTTTTCTCAATAGGAAGCCAGTTTTCGGTTAAAAAAGCCCATCTGAATGTCAATATAAAGATATATTTTTAACATTTTTTGGCAATAAGAATATTGAGTTGGTGGACCGTTTTTGTTATCCTGATTCGATCGAAACTTTATCTTTTAAAGAAATTAAGTTAATATGTTTTAAACTAAACCGACGTCAACAGCTTTTGCTTCTTGATTTGATTTCGTTAGATTACGGAGAACAACTGAAACCATAACTGAATTTGCAGATAAAATTAGAACAATTGGCAAGCGTTGTCATGATCTTAATAATATTGACGAGCGTTTACGTGATCAGTTTATGGTTGGCATGGATATACCGGGATTGGAAAGAGATCTTAGAGCTCTATATCCCGACGGTCTTGATAGAGATAATAATGTACTGACTTTTCAATTTATTTTTGATCTGGCATTAGCTTCTGAGCGAGCAGATAAAGAAATGGCAAATAAAAATATGCCTGTTGTTAATAAGATAAATGATAATAACAAAAGAAATGATAATGATAATAATTATAAACATCCAATTAAAACGAGACTACATTTGATAAAGGCTATAATAAAGTCAAGTATAATAATACATTTGATAAGGAGAATAATAAATACAAATATAATAATGATAAAGATTATAATAAACTTAAATGTTATAAATGTGGTTTTATTCATAACCGAGAAGTGAGATGTCCAGCTACAAATGCGGCATGTAATAAATGTAAAAAAATTGTTTGCAGTTGGCTGTAAATCAAAGAATTTAAATTATATAAGAGTGTCATCAAGTGATTCTATTCATAATATTTGGAAGATTCAACAAAATCGAGAGAATCGAGCAAAACTAACTGCAGAGATAAATGGGTTAGATGTTGAATTTGATTTTGACACTGGTGCACAAGCGTCATTGATAGGAATTGATATATGGACAAGTATTGGGCGACCAAAAATTAGGCCAACCAGTCCATTGACTGCATATGGTGATTATCCGTTAGACGTTAAGGGCGAGACCCAAGTCAATGTTAGGATTGGATCACAGACAAGGACCCTATCAGTGTTAATAATGAATACAACTGGGGTGCCTCTTTTCGGATTACTATGGATTATAGCATTCAATTTAGAAATGCCTCGTCAGGTTATGATTAAACAAGTACGCAATTTGGTCAACAATATTGAAAAAGAAAAATGTTGAATAACACTAGATTCTAAAATTCAAGATTTGATTAATAAAAACCAAGAAATTTCGGAAGAGAATCAAGATTCTAAACATGCTTTGGATATTCGAAGTATTAATTTGGATGATATACAATTGTCAGAAAATATTCTACAAAAGGAGTCAAAGCAAGATTTAATATTAAAAAAAGTAGCAATACATATTCAGCAAAGTTGGCGAAACTTTGATCGTCATAAAGATAAAGAAATAGTTAATTTTTATAATCGACGGGAAGAGCTATCTGTCGATCGTGATATTATAGAATGGAATGGGAGATTGGTTATTCCTAATAAATTAAGAAATGCAGTGTTAGGAATGATTCACCGGGGATACATTGTGTCAGACAATGGACCACAATTCTTATCTGGGGAATTTCGTAAGTATTGTGATTTAAATAATATACGTTCGGCACCCTATCATCCAAAAACTAGTGGATTAGCTGAACATTCAGTACGAACTTTGAAAGGTCGGTATTATGCGACGAGAGATTCAATTAGTGATCCCGAAGAAGCTATAATACAGGTTTTAACAACCTACCGATTGGGAGAGCATAGCTCCACAGGGAGATCTCCTGCTAAAATTATGTTTGAGAGGCAATTGAAAACAAGTCTGGATTGGATCCGACCAAATGCCGAACACGAAATAGTAAAGGCCAATGATAGACAAAGCCTTCATCATGATTTACATTCAAAGGAAAGAAAATTTGAAATCTCACAAC